TATGTATGTGTGTATGTATATATATATATATATATATATTAAAACTCATGCAGGGGACATAATCAGTTTAAATTAGCAGCGGTAAGAAGAGACTACAAAATATTGACTTGTCCCCCTTTAAACACATCTTGGAGAATTCACACTGATTTGAATTAGGAATATGTGGTGATACGACTTATATATGTGTATGTGTCGTGATATAACATTGGTGGCTGTGGGGGTGATATGAATTATATTGGTGTCTTTGGGGTGATATGACTTATAATGGTGACTGTGAGGTGATATAGATTATATCAGTGGTTGTGTCGTGATATGGCTTATATTGGTGGAGTACTCTCCCATGAGATATCCCCAGCAAGTGTCTAGAGCAGCGGTTCCCAAACTGTGGGTCGCGAACCCTTTGGGGGGTCGCACGACACTTTCACAGCGATCGCCTAAGACCATCTGTAAACACATATGCTCTAAAGTTATGAAGTATCAACGAAAATAAGTTTGTGGTTGGGGGTCGCCACAACATGAGGAACTGTTTTAAGAGGTCGCCGAGTTAGAAAGGTTGAGAACCACAGGTCTAGAGGTTTTAATTATAGATTGAAATCAACCACAAAAGTAGTAACGTACTCTCACTCATATGCACTTATATGTACCACTTGTATGTACCACTTGTATGTATCACTTGTATGTATCACTTGTATATATCACTTGTAATGTACCACTAGTATGTATCACTTGTATGTATCACTTGTATGTATCACATGTATGTATCACTTGTAATGTACCACTAGTATGTATCACTTGTATGTATCACTTGTATGTATCACTTGTATGTATCACTTGTAATGTACCACTAGTATGTATCACTTGTATGCATCACTTGTAATGTACCACTAGTATGTATCACTTGTATGTACCACTTGTATGTACCACTAGTATGCATCACTTGTAATGTACCACTAGTATGTATCACTTATATGTAGTTGAAACAAAAGTATACACAAAATTTCATTCGAAATGAGATCAACCAATTTATTTTCATCAATTTACAAAACTGAACATAAATCAAAGTCTTACAATGATGGAACATGTTCCCAGTGATGGATTAGATCAACATGTTCCCAGTGATGGATTAGATCAACATGTTCCCAGTGATGGATTAGATCAACATGTTCCCAGTGTTGGATTAGATCAACATGTTCCCAGTGATGGATTAGATCAACATGTTCCCAGTGATGGATTAGATCAACATGTTCCCAGTGATGGATTAGATCAACCTGTTCCCAGAAATGGTTTGGATCAAGTTTTGCAAATGAATGAACCATCTTAATTCTAATGGGGAGGAATTATCTGCCACACGACGCTTCGTCATCATTACGTATTGCCTTGTTATAGGATATGATAAGATAGATAGGTTATGACAGTAAGATAGGCATGTTCTGATAGTGAGATAGGCATGTTCTGATAGTAAGATAGGCATGTTCTGATAGTGAGATAGGTATGTTCTGATAGTGAGATAGGTATGTTCTGATAGTAAGATAGGCATGTTCTGATAGTAAGATAGGCATGTTCTGATAGTGAGATAGGTATGTTCTGATAGTGAGATAGGTATGTTCTGACAGTAAGATAGGTATTTTCTGACAGCAAGATAGATATGTTCTGATAGTAAGATAGATATGTTCTGATAGTAAGATAGATATGTTCTGATAGTATGATACGCATGTTCTGACAGTGAGATAGGTATGTTCTGACAGCAAGACAGGTATGTTCTGACAGCAAGATAGGTATGTTCTGACAGCAAGATGGGTATGTTCTGACAGCAAGACAGGTATGTTCTGACAGCAAGATAGGTATGTTCTGACAGCAAGATGGGTATGTTCTGACAGCAAGATGGGTATGTTCTGACAGCAAGATGGGTATGTTCTGACAGCAAGATAGGTATGTTCTGACAGCAAGATAGGTATGTTCTGACAGCAAGATAGGTATGTTCTGACAGCAAGATGGGTATGTTCTGACAGCAAGATGGGTATGTTCTGACAGCAAGATGGGTATGTTCTGACAGCAAGATGGGTATGTTCTGACAGCAAGATAGGTATGTTCTGACAGCAAGATAGGTATGTTCTGACAGCAAGATAGGTATGTTCTGACAGCAAGATGGGTATGTTCTGACAGCAAGATGGGTATGTTCTGACAGCAAGATGGGTATGTTCTGACAGCAAGACAGGTATGTTCTGACAGCAAGATGGGTATGTTCTGACAGCAAGATGGGTATGTTCTGACAGCAAGATAGGTATGTTCTGACAGCAAGATGGGTATGTTCTGACAGCAAGGTGGGTATGTTCTGACAGCAAGATGGGTATGTTCTGACAGCAAGATGGGTATGTTCTGACAGCAAGATGGGTATGTTCTGACAGCAAGACAGGTATGTTCTGACAGCAAGATAGGTATGTTCTGACAGCAAGATAGGTATGTTCTGACAGCAAGATGGGTATGTTCTGACAGCAAGATGGGTATGTTCTGATAGGTAACTTATCTCATTGATTGTATATAAATGACCGCGATAGAGCGATCAATGAATGAGGTCACTTCTATGATGGACGTGGAGCCTCCTCTGTGTGGTCATCTCAGCCTACGCTAATGAATGGACTTCCCGGGGGGACGTTGGGTGTAGAGTCCTGGAAACTAATGGTCGTATGAGATTCAGACATCAAGGGTTTTTTAGGTGGATGTACAGCGTTTGGTGGACTCCACGGAATCAGGGCCCCTTGGCTCATCCTGAAATCCAGCTGCTAAAGTGTGCTGTTTTCTTGCGACACGGCAACAAGGCTACAAGAGGACCAGCCTATACGAGATCCATTTTAACTGTGAAATGATGCAAGGAAAAAAGGAAGGAAGCAACCGTTCCTAATTGAGTCATAAGCTGTCATGTCCCTGTCACACACGGAATGATCAGCAATACTTCATCAAAAGATATCATAAAAGTAATCATTTATATAAATAGTAACGGAAAATAAATGCCAC